GTTATTTTTCTGGGGGTTGCTAGAAATTGTTCCGTGTTGAGGAATGGATTTTGGAAAAGACAATTTAGATGTTGTAAAAAATTACTGTTTCAAAAAATTTCAGAAAGATCTGACTACTTTTTCATAGTTCGGTAAATAATGAACCAAGATATTATGCGCCTATTTGTAAAGTTTGGAAAAAAGTTTCACTGTTTTAAAACTTTTTTTTAATCTATAAATTTTATTGACTATTAGTGATCTTTGCCCTTCCAATCCTCACTAAAAATTTATCAAATATTAATTTCGCGGTAAATTCACTTTCAAAAAAAAATCATTATCAAAATCTCTATATATCCGTTTCAAAAAATTCCTCTGATTTCTTTATTTTTACTTTTGCATTTTGTTAGTTGACCATTTTTGATGCCTTTCCCAGGAGCCGAGATATATTGGGCCAAAGTTGACAATGTTTAGGGCTAACTTGTCAAAAAAAACTCTCTGTTTCACTTCTTATATTTACTTACTTATTGATTACGATCTTCCGTCGTGGAAAAAGAGAAAAAAGAGAAAAGGAATACTATACAATCACACAAAACACAGATACACGAATAACTAGAATTTGAAGTGCCTCTACCTTGAGTCTAGTTTGAGAAAGTTTATCTCGGTTCATGTAGAAGATATCGAAAAGTAGACAAGTAATAAAACATAATTCATTTTGCATTTTGTTAGTTGATCATTTTTGATACCTTTCCCAGGAACCGAGATATATTGGATCAAAGTTGCCAGGGTGTAGAGACAACTCATAAAAATCACTGTTTCACTTCTCATATCTGTGTGTTCAGGTTTTTAATCCAGCTGCTACTCAATTGTAACCTTTTTGCAATAGTCTATTCACAAATATTCATCTTATAATTTTCCCTTCACTTTCCTCCATTGACCACTACCATTCGATAGATTTAATTCAAATTATCTTGTTTTTTGTATAAGATATCAAAAAGTGGCCAGCTATAAAAAAGGTCTTAAATTGATTAAAAATTTGTTAGTTGATCACTTTTAATATATATTTTCAGGAAACGAGATGAATCGGCTCATTGTTGACAAGGTGTATGAATAACTCATAAAAATCACTGTTTCAATTTTTTCTGATGATTCTGTACAAAAGAGTCGGTTTGATCAATATATTTTCTTCCTATTTCCTCAGCTTTGAGTTAAATTATCTCGGTTACTGTAAAAGATATTAAAAAGTGACTAATTGATAAAAAATAGTTCAAATTATGATAAACAAGTTTTTAGTTGACCATTTTTTGATATTTTCGCTGGGAACCGAGATAAATTAGGCCAAATTATTCAATGTTTCGGTTAGTTTGTTGAAAATCACTGTTTCATTTTTTATATTTATGCGCACAAGTTCCAAATCCAGCTGATAGTATGTACAAGCTATTGAATGAGAATCTTCTGGAAAATCTTCCCAATTCTCTGCCATTAAAAATCTTCATCTTTTCATTTTTCCCTTTCATCCCACCTCCACTTGACCACTACTACCATAACTTTTGACCTTGACCCACAACAAAAAAGGTTTTCCTCCCAACTTATCAAGTATTCCACGTTTCACGCGGATTCTATTCACCGAAACTTATTTAGGCTGCAGACCGGAAAAGAAATCCGTGTGAGAAAAAATATATGAATAATTTCTTTTCTTCGGCTATTGACTCGAAAATTTAGACCTTTTTTTGAGAAAAATAATTGCGGTTTCAAAAATTTTTTGATTTCAAAAATCTCATATTTCAAAACTTTGTTTGTGATTATAAAATCTCAAAAAGGTATTTCAAAACCAAAAGTTTCTGTTATAAACTTATTTCAAGTTTGGTAGTTCTGGCCTGTCGCAGAAGATATTTTTTCCAAAAGATTTTTTTGAATTCAAAAAATTGCTGTTTCAAGAATTTTTAAATTTCAAAAAAATCCAATTTTCGAGTTCCTTCCTTTATAAATTTAAGAAGAAAAAAATTGCTGTTTCAGAAAATACGGTTTTTTTAATGAAAAATATGGTTCTCATTCAGCTGGATGGGTCTTGACCAAAATAAAAAGTTATACGAAACTAAGAAATAAAATTACTGTTCCAAAAAATATAAATAGTTTTTGAAAGATCCCATTCAAATTATTGAAGCCACATTCCATAAATTCCTAAATCTACAAAAATTACTGTTTCAAAAATTTCATTGAACAAATTTTTCGAGAAATTTTCATTGATAGATTGTTAAAGATACGCCCTTTTAACCAATTTTAGCTGTTATAGTTGTTTATTTCCAAATCTAATGGATGTAAAATTAACACACTGAATATAAATTTTTAAAAAATCGGATTATTTCTAAAATCTTCTGCTTCTGAGATTCCGAATTTTCTATTCATTCAACTTTTGACAACAACTAGCTATTCCAATACTATTTTTGATAAATAAAATCTCTTAAAAATATTTTCTGAAACAGATAAAAATTTCCAAAACTCCTGAGTTTTGATCCTCCTCGTATTAATTCTCCACAAAGATTTCTGATTCAGAAGACATCCCAAATGTGTTTCTTTGCTCTTCAGAATTTGAAAAAAAAGAAGACGTCATGAGAAAAGGAAGATGAAAAGTCAAAGATTATCATTTTCTGATTCTTATCAGTTCACATGTAGTTTTTTCTTTTTCTTCGAGAACTTTTGAGTAGGCGTCCCCATTTTTATATTTTGAAATTTTTTTAAAACTTTAAAATTTTGAAATTCCGCAAAAAATAATGTTAAAACCCAAAAGCTCTGATATTTCAAAAAAGTCTAGTTTTTTTGACTTCGGATCAATTTTTCGCTGAAACTTATATTTTCCAATAGTTTTTTGAAACAGAAATTTCATTACTCTTATGTATATTGGGTCAAAACCTGAGCAATCATTTTTCACTCCAAATTTAAAAAACCTTTTTTTGAAACAGTAAGTTTTTCCTTTAAAAAAGTAGATACCTAGCGATGTCTGATTCGTTCAAAAAAAGTTCATCATCCTTTTCATTTTTTTAATTAATTAGACTGAAAAAACTAGATTTTCTAGACATATTCTCTTCTTTTCTAGAAAAATCTTTTTTCTAAAACCAGGAAACGTCACAAAACGTTCGGGTTGTCTGACAGGAAATTTAGGCTCCGCCCGTTTTTTCAAGTTATGACTCAGGTTTTTATTCTTTATAAGTGAAATCTCAGTATTTTAAAGGATCTTTTTTTCAGGTATAAGAATAACTGTTTCAAAATTTTGGTTTGAAAAATTTCAGACTTAAATCATGATTGCGAATTGCTAAATTTTTTACTGTTTCGAAAAAATAATCTGAAATGTTTGTTTCAATGAAAAATTAATCAGTTCACATAATCAGTCCTATTTCTGTTTCAAAAACTATTTACAATTTTCTCAAAATTTCCGGTTTTTATGAAAATTCAGTTTTTTAAACACCAATTCAATAAAGTGTTTTAAGATTCTGAACCTTTTTTTTTCAGAATTTCAAGTTTTGCAAGTTCAAATTCAGAATCTCAAAACATGAGAATCGTCACGTCCAGTCTGAAAAATCATGCTCAAAGACAAGGAAAAACTACATGTGAACTGATATGATCAGGAAATGATAATTTCTGACTTTTAACCTTCTTTTTTTTTGATGACGTCTACTCTTTTTTCCTAATTCTGAAGAGCAAAGAAACACATTTGGGACGACTTCTGGATCCTCAATTGAAGCATATTAATAGGATCAAATTTTAGGAATTTTCAGTTTCAAAAGATATATTTTCAAACATAAATTTTAAATAATGGTTTGAAAACGTTATTGAAAAACAGAAGTATTGACTTTTGCAGATTTCAGAAAATTCGGATTTTCGAAATATTCCGAGTTTTCAAAATTCTGATTGCTTTTCAATGATTACTTAACACACCGGTTAACATAATGCCCAATCTTTCTCAAATTTGAAACAGTAATTTTTTATCTACTTTTTTTCTCAATTTGAGCATAAATATTAGGATCAAAACTCATAATTTTCTGTTTCAGAAGACACTTTTTATAAATATTTTTTTGTAACGTTTTTATATCTTTTTATAGAAATTTCCAAAACTTATTTTTTTGATCTCGGGCAAAAATCTCAAATTCCAGTTTTTCAAAAACAGCGCATGGTACCACCTACTTCTCATTTTTCAGTCACCCTTTACTTACTCAAGTATTTTGCCCTTTCTAAAAGATTCACCTGATTCATTTCTTTCTGACTACAATTTTTTTCAATTTTTTCGTAAAATTTTACAACTTCTCCAAGTGCATTCGTAAACTAATACAACATGTGTTGTCCCCCGTGTTCCTTCGACCCTAGGATATTGATGGATCATGTGTCAAAAGAGTTGGTCCCGACTGATTTCAGTATATAAATTTTTCGTTAAAGGTGGGGGGACAGGAGATTTTTCGTAGTTTTTTGTAGCTAGAGTATGCATTCTACCGTGACGGTGTACAACGCTTAATGTCACTCTGCGTACAGCTGTCGTCCTCGCCTTTATGTATGCAATCGGGCGGCCGCTTTCTCTTTGCCCGCGCGGCTCAGTCGGTAGCGGCGCCGCACACTCAGTCATCGCCCCCAAAAGTTCAACTCCTCGAGGGGCATCTTTGAACGGAATTTCGAGAACATTATTTTTTCATGTCCCCCCACCTTTAAACTTTTCGTTAAACTTTAATTTTTTTCAAAAACTGTTTTTTATTTTATATATTATTTTCGTCGCGTTCAAATAACTATTGAATTTTCGCTTTTTGAAATCTGTGAAACTCTTCGAAAAAATACCTTCTTTGACCCTAATTATCTCGTAAAACTAGTGGACACTGATTATCCAGACAAACAGAAATGTTTGAAAACTTTAGATTGTAATGAACCAAAGACCTTCTTTTGAAAACTATTGACAAAATTTTCGCCGAATTCCAGAAGTGCCAAAATTAACTTTTGTAGGCCTTTGAATTTTACTTTAACAGTAATCTCAAGAAATTACTGTTTCAAAACCGGACAGCATTGGCGAACGATTTGGTAGAGGAAGAGGGAGCGGGAGTAGAGACGGCATCGACAAACACTTCAGAAAGTGCTGAGACAGGAGGTCCAAGTTGGGGCGGATCGGGAGTGGTCTGGCAAGTATTCGCAATTATCTTACCAAGTTTGGTGGATCCTTCTTCAATCAGTCCATCTCGGATTTGTTGGATAATGTCGGTTAGAACAGTTACGTGCTTGTGCATTGCCAGATAATCATCATATGCCATAAACAGTGGAGGCTCGGAGTCCAGGCTCGAATGGAATTTCCTCTTGGCTGGAGGCGCCATGGCAGACATGGCGATGATGGCAAAAAGTTAGCGAAAGGCAAAAAGTTAGCGAAAGGCAAAAAGTTAGCGAATGGCAAAAAGTTAGAGAAAATATTGTCGAGATTCTGATTTCCTAAGTTTTAATAACTTCAAATCCTAATAATGAATCTTCAATTTGAATCTTCAATTCGATTTTTAACACTAGATCTACTCTTTTTTTGTTAATTTCAATATTTTTAGAATTCCAGGTTTAGAATTCCAGATATTCTTGGATTTTCAAATTATCAGATCTTAAGATTTTTGGATTCCTACTAGTTCTAATGTTCTAATCCCAAATTTCTCGAATTTCTAATTGCTCAGATCCTAAGATTCTGAAATTTCAAATTTTTCAGATTCTAAAATACTGTGGTTTCTGAATTTTCGCTCCACCGTCGCTCCTTTTTAAACTTTGAACTATCGCTGAATTTTGAAAAATGACCCAAGATTCTCCATTTTGTCTCTTTTTCTCTCTTTCTCTCTCATTTGTCTTTTCAAGGCCCAAAAAAATCGCAAATGTTTGTTTTTCGGTTTACTCACCTTCTGATTGCTTCGTTTTCTACTATCCAGCCTATTTTTCTCACTAATTTTGTGTATTTTTTGAAATTTAAGTTTTAAAGAAAAAAATTACTGTTTCAAAAATTGACTATCAGAAAAGTTGAATCCAAAAAGTTGGTGCATAATCAATTGGTTAAACTTATATCAATTCTTGTACTAATTTCCTGTTAACAAGATTTCAGAATTTTACTGTTTCAAAAAATTTGAAAAGTTTATCAAAAAATATTAGTTCTGATGATTGGATCTGATGAAATAGAAATATGTAAACTTTCATAAAAAAATTTCATTTGAAGCCGAAAATAGGTAATATAAAATTCTAATTCAATTCAATTCAATTCAATTTATTACGTATCTAAAATACTAAAATCTTATCTAAAATTTAGTAATTTTCAGAAAAATTACTGTTTCAAAAGCTTCCTTTCAAAAAATTGGCAATTCGAAGACAATAACAGACGTTATAAAGCCGCCTCAAAAAATTGCTGTTTCAAAAATTACTGTTTCAAATTTTTCAAATTTTCAAAATCGCGTTTTGTAGCCGTTATTTTTTTCGAACTATTTAAGTTATAAACAGAAATAATGTTGATCGAAAAAATAATTTAATCAAAATTAAATCAAAATTAAAAGTAACTGAAATTTTCCTTCCAATCCCTCCAAAAACCAACTCTCAACGACAACTTTGAGCAGAGTTAGAGCGGTTTGAATTTTTTGAGAGACGCAGAGAAAACAGAGCGCTCTCGTTGTCTGCGTCTCATCGAAAACTTCAAATAACTAGCTCGGCTTCCAATTGTTCTAAAAAGCGGGGTTTCGCTCATTTTTATTGAAATTGTGTTTAAAATGTATTTGCAAATTTCTGAGTCTCTTAATCTATGTTTTTCCAGTTTTTTTCCGATCTCTCTCTCTCTCTCTCTCTCTCTCTCTCTTCCATCTAATCTATGTTTTCTTTAAGAATCCGAACGATATTGAAAATGGACGAAGGCGGAGGCACCTCACTTCTTCAAAGAATCACAACGACAGCTTCTGAAATCCTAATAAGAAATTCGAATGAATTCGAAAATTCGATAAAGACGACAACAACAAATCCGGCGATTGAGGAAGTGTATCATATACACTATTTGACACCAACTATGAAGGTAGGACTACAGTATCCAACGAGTTTTCTAGGCCATCAAAGTTGGTGGCCTAACTTTCCTCTATTTAGAAAGAGTCGTGGCCAGAAAAAACTGTCTGGAAAAAATTAGGCCATATTGACAAAATTTTTTGTTTCAAAAAACTACTGTTTCAAAATTTTCATTAAAAAGTAACAAGCAATTCAGAAAGTATTGCGATAACGACATAACCAGAATGAAATGTTAAAAAACCATACATTCAATATTGCTCATCCTTTCAGATGCTGTGTATCTTGTTCTACAGTATCCTTTGCGTCTTATGTGTCTATGGAAATGTGTTGGTGATTCTCGTTATTGTCTACTTCAAACGATTACGAACCGCGACGAATATTTTGATTTTGAATTTGGCAGTTGGTGAGTTTACACTTTATTCTTTGACACAATTTATCTTGGTTCTTTCGAAAGGTATCAAAATGTTGTCAGCAAACAAAATGTGTATGATAAAATGATAAACATTTTATCAGTTGACCACTTTTTTATATCTCTCACAGAAAACTAGAAAAATTGATTCAAAGTTGTAAAAATGGGAAGGCAAAGAATAGATTGCCTAATGATATGAACAGGATCATTAGAAAAAATTGAAACCGAAAGTAATTTTTTCACCCTGTCAACTTCGAGACAGTTTATCTCGGTTCATTTGATAGTTATCAAGAAGTGATCAATTAACAAAATGTTACTGATATTATGTTTAATATTTTATCAGTAGACCACTAGTTGATATCTTTCAGAGGAAACTATAAAAATTGATTCAAAGTTAAGAGGTTTTGTAGCGGTAATAACTGAGCAGCCAGAGGCAAACTAAGAAATTTATTTTGAATGGTTTTTGAAACTGTAAAAATAACTTTTTTAGTTATTTTCATTTTTGAAAGGAATTTCTTCTAAGCATTATGAAAACTTCTAGTTTCAGTTTTTCAGTTTTTTTTTGAAATAGGTTAAAATTTTTTGAATTTAGCCAAAGTTTTATCAAATTGGAAAAATCTTTTTACAAATTTCGGATTTTTTTTGAACACTAAAAAACCTTGTTAAAGCATCCAAAGTTTGAAAATTCAAATGTCCTACACTTTCAATAATTTTGGCTGGCTTCCGAGTTGAAGAAAAAAGAAACTTGAAGTTTGAGAAAAAGTCTGTTTCACTGATAAAATAATACCTACCAAAAAGAAAAAAATTCCAGAATTTTCGATTTGTCTGAAAATTTCAGACTGTATTAAACAAAAATAGAGCTTCAATTTTCTAGTTGACAACTTCTTCGTCAAATTACTTTCAGAAGAGTTATGTAACCAAATTAACACTGAAATTAGAGTTGAGCATCTTTAAAATGCCTTATTTTGTTTCATTGGATTTCTATTTGTACAAATACAAACTTGGATTTCGAATTTCCAAATTTCCAAAATTAATAATTTTCAGCTGACCTCCTAATCTCGGTATTCTGCATTCCATTCAGCTACTGGCAAGTGCTAATCTTTGATGATCAACGATGGCTCTTCGGCTCCATGATGTGCTCTCTCCTAGCATTTCTTCAAGCAATGGCTGTATTTTTATCAGCCTGGACTCTTGTAGTAATCAGTTTTGATCGTTGGATGGCAATTATGTTCGTCTTAACCCCATCAATCCGAATAACCAATCGACGAGCCTTGTACCTGGTAGCCGCCACGTGGATTTTCAGTATTCTTATGGCTCTACCCCTTCTGTTTACCACTCGATCCTTCGAAATAACCGAAGGAATTGAGAATTGTGGTGAGAATTGGACATATTTCGGAGATGCTGGAGAACAAGTCCGGAAGGTGTATTCGACGATGGTGGTCATTCTACAGTACATTGTACCACAGGCGGTTCTTATCATCACTTATACCCATATTGGCATCAAAATGTGGAATAGTCGAGTGCCGGGAATGCAGAATGGGGCGACGAAGAAGATGATTGTGGATCGGCATGAGAGTGTGAAGAAGGTGACAAATCGGGACAAAGAAAATAATCATCGAATTGCTGTGATTGAATAGCTAGGATTTTACTTTATATTCTGAAACAGGGAATCTTCCAAGGTTTGGAAAAATTAGATTTTGAAATTCGAAAAAAAAAATCACTGTTTCAAATTTCAGATTTTTTGAGTTTAAGTAATCAAACTTGTTTGGTATACGTTTTAACAAAACAATGAAACATTATATCTAAAAAAGATAATGCTGCTACGGTACGGAAGAAACACATCAAATTTTGACTATTTTTTAGTTAACTCATAGTCAACTTTGAAGTCCTACAAAAGTAGTCCAGAATTTTTAGATTTGTTTGAAAACTTCTAGCGCTTCATTTTTGTAATTGACAACTTTTTTATACAAATACAACAAAACTAGATATACCGCTTGAAACTCTCACTATCCGTGCTGATTCCGGCATTGGTTGAATTCAAGACGTATATCTCATAAGAATGCATTTGTACAAAAAACGTTGTCAATTTCAAAATCAAAGGGGGACTCCGACCAAAAATTTTTATTGCATTAAAATGTGTTAAAAGTTATCTATTTTCCGAATATTATTGCGAAAAAGTTCAAAAAAAAACCGAAATTCCCGAAAAACGGCGTTAAAAAAAAGAAAATTCAAAAAAAAAG